CTACATTTAAATATACCATTTATATAGCAGACAGGGAAAGAAATCATTGGCAGTAGATCTAGACCTGCTGGTAACCAAAGTGATAGATGATACATGAAATTTCATAAAGTACATGCACTGCTCTGAAGATCATAGATCTTAAATCAAACAAAAGGTTTGCTTAGCCTCCTTCCAGAAGTATATTTTAGGATGAGTTATTTGCCTTAAGGGTATGGTCAGATTTTTCAGAAATCACTTGAGTCCATACTCTACGATATAAAAAACAATAGACAGCAGTGTCTTGGTGCAAATGCTTGYACAGCCTCACAATTGCAGTATGCTGGGAGCCAGCATTTCTGGATTTCATCCCTAGAGGTCACAAAAATGGCCAAGAGACTTTTCAGCTGAAGCATGTAACATCTAACACCTCAGCTATCTAGAGCTGAGGTAGAAGCAATACTGTCAGTGTCCAGAAGTGTCTGCAAGGAAAGCCCACTGAAGACAGGTCCTGAGGGCTATGTCTGCAAATTCACAAGCCTGCTGAGAGATTCCCACAGGCACTGAGAGATTCCCACAGGCACACAACCACTTGGCATAGTCACACTAGACACCAGGGGAAGCAAACAGCTGACAGCTAAGGTGTCACCTGGGACAGTGAACAATGATGGGAACTATAGACACTGCCCAGAACCGCTTGCAGCAAAAGTTGGTTTCCTCAAGGGCAGGTGTTTTGGGAGCCCTGTATCTACGCACACCTGACTTCCTCAGCAATTCCTCATCTGTGTGGAACAAGTGAATAATTCTTCAGCATCAAATTCTTCAGCATTGGGAAGACTGGATTTACACTGCCACTGAGTAATGGAAGAAAGGCCAGTATTTACACCCGAGAAAACAGGTGCCACCTCTGCCTGGGCTTGTGAATTCATACACAATTCTCCATGCACGAGGAGCCACCCTAAGAAATGTCACTCCCAACAGCTCAGAATTCCTCTCTCCTGAGGGGATGCATAGCATTTACCTCCCCCAGCTTCAACCCTGRTATGCTGGGAAGGCCCACTGASACCAGCTGGTCATGTGGAAGCTGCTAGAAAATGAGTCATAACAGACAGCTGTGAAAGAGGCAACMCTGCTGAAGAAAGACACTGRAAGGWTGCCGGCCCATTTTTAATAGCCACAGAGTAGTACAGCTCTCAAAAGCAGCCTCCACAGGTAAGAGTCAGAMTTCATTAATTCTCTAGTCCCTCATGGCGGACACCTTTAACAGACCAAGTTCTGGCTTACTAGGCTGCAAAAACCCACTGTTCCCTATGCAAGACCAGATTTAGACATCTGACTTACATCATAGGCCCAAAGCTTATTATGTCAATCCAAGATGGTAAATAATCCAGAAACCAGCAAAAGCAAATGTTAAGTGAGAGCTTTGCATATAAACCAAGTTTTAACTGAAAGCTACGAACATGACTGCAGATAAACCACTCAGTCTTCTTTTACTGTTGCCACCAATGTACGTGAGACATTCCTCCTTATCCACAACTTCCCAATCTCTGCCCCATTATCTGTGTTCAGAAATAACCCTCAATTGTTATTTGCATTGCAATTGATAGACTGAGGACCCTTCCTGCCCCTTTTTGAAAAACAAGGTGAATGAAACATCCTTGTTCCAGGCTGTGAACAATTTTATAATTTATTATTTTAGTTACACACAGTACCTCTGAAGGGCAAAATGTAGCACTGTACTTGGATTGAATTTTCTTGGTTATCTAACATAATTAAACACAATTTGTCTTCCCTTTTACCTTTTCCCTGGGAAGAAAGTCTACATTCTTCAACTGTGAACTTAGGTTACTGCTTTGTTTTGGGGGCTTTGTTTCAGGTTTTTTTGTTTAATAAGAATAATGCACAAGAAGAATACAAAGACAGTATTCTCTAGAGACTATACTACATATTTTATATCAAATAAAGTTTCTTTCACTGGAAAATAAGCAGCACAGAAAATGCCAAATGAGATTATTCATTCTACATCCAGACACTTAGGAGTAGCAATTATCCAGCTGACCAATTTCTGTTTTGGGGTTCTTCTGGTGTGCATGGGTACCTATATGTTTAGACACAGCCATGCTAACATTCATGATAAAAGAAATAGGCAAAGCAACGAGTATATCACTTCTTTCTACTACCATAAGTATTAAAAATATTCTTAAACATGCCACTCACTCACCAGGAAATAAACATCAGAAGGAACTGGAAATCACTGCTTTGCCACCACTCAGCCTTGACACTGTCTCTTTCCACCTCCTTGCAGAAGTCTGGCAGCACCTCTCCAAACAACTCTTGCATCAGGGCACACTGTAATGTCCCATGGGCTCAGCCAGCTCACTTTGACACAAAATGAGGCGCAGGTGCTGSAATCAGCCCAGGGGCCAAGTCCCAGCTGGCATATCTAAAAAGATTTCTGGCCCCAGGGAAATGAGAGAGGAGTGTTTGGAAAGATCTTGTTTGTAGAGACTTTCCAAATGTTAGTTGCCATCCTCTAGAGGAATAGAAATGCTGATTAGGCTGAAGACCAATAGGTGTTGGGAACTGTTTGACGTGTACTGKCGGATTGATTCACTTCTTGTTGTAGGCTGGACTGGGCTGAGCCGCCCCCATTCCTTTGCTGGTGCGTTTGCACAACCAAAACTGGGGCTCTTGCTTTGCTGGGTGGAGAGAGATGTGACTACCACTTCTGCCCCATTGCATGGTTACCTTTCCGCTGCCAAAGCCCTCTTGTCAGTGAGGCTTCAAAAGGGAGTATGGCTGATCAGTTCACCCACAAACAGCTCCTCACCTCCCCTCTTTAACCACCTCTTCAAAAGCCTGTTCCATCCATACTCTCACTAGGAGACCACTCCTTCGTCTGCGGTGGGAAAAGCAAATAGAGCTCTCTAGCTTTTCTTTGCTTTGAATGAGAGCGTTCATTGAACAGGCCCTTCTCAGGTAAACTGAGTATGCACCATGACCTTCCACTTCCTTAAAAATACTGCAGGTTGACTAGAGCCTCCTGGCAACACAGATGAATCCAGCCACTGGCATCTAGATCCCAGTGTTGGTTCCCTCTGAACAGAATAGAGACATTCTAGCACTCATTGATTATGTCATCTAAGTAAYGCACAGCAAAGGGACAAAGGTGAACCCTTGAATCACTGTAAGGATGCTTTCTCTCCAGGACAGGGGTGTTAAGTCCAGAGGTATCAATACCATAGTCTCTGGTATAGTCTGATGAGCTTAGCACCAAAATACACGGTACTYCCACCTACACTTCAATTAGATACTGATCATGCAGTGCTCTCCCAGAGGGGGCGATCTTGGTACAGACTTACCCAAGCTTGTGGGAATAGCTACAAAACAGCACACAATCCTGAGACACCTTCACACCACATAATTCTTAGCACCTTCATCTGACTCTGGAGTTAGCCCTGCTTCGAGCAGGGAATTGGACTGGATGACAACCAAGTATCATTTCCAGTGTATAGTCTGTGATTTTGTGATACCACTGCTTTTGAGACAGCACATCTGTGAAGAAACAATGTCAAGACCTCAGRTTTGGGATTGGGGGTTCAGTTAGAATTAACAGAATCCTGGCAAAGAGTCTTGATTACCCTTGTGATCAATTAAATGCAAACAAAGTGGAAAAACACTGGACAGATTCCTAACATTCAGAGGAGACTTGCACAGGCATTACACTGACACTTAGTTTGAGGCAAGGATATCCTTTTCTATCCATAATTCCTCTTTAGAAACTCACTGTCAGTTTCTACCTAACAATATTGCAACATTGCAATAAACATAATATTTCCCCAGGTGCTCAGTATCTGCAAATATAAACACATACATTCTTTATTTTATAGGAAGTATCACGGTGATGTTTTTGCCAATGACACAAGATGGTAAAGCCACTAGAAGGATGAAGAAGACTTTCAACACAATAGCTAGCATTCAACACAGAAATATTCATAAGAAGCTGTCCACAAAGAATACTTAGAATATGAATACAAAGAACACTTACAATATGCAGATGATTTTAAGGGCTGTCCCCTGTTGTGTTTCAGGAAGATAATTTTAATGGTTACAGGACAGTCAACCCATTAACTAACACTAGAGAACAGATGGTACAAATCCTATGTCCATCCAGGTSAAACAAGCAAAGCAGACATAAATGCTAACATGCCTCTTGTATACAGTGGAGGTATGATTTCATTAGTGTTTCGTACACAAAGGCGGCTATTCACCCAGAACACAGTCTTGAAAACATCAGAAGTTATTTTCAGATACTTGGGATCTGAAAATCCTGCTTGGGATCTATTTCAGGACAGAGTGGGATTTATCTCAAAAACKGCATAAGAGACAAAATTGCTGAATCCTGAAAGAATTAAGCGGTGGARCCTCCTATTTGTTGTAGGTATCTGCCCCAAGAGCCATGTTCCTAAGCAAGGCAGTCCTAAATGTCTCTTTGGAATGAAACTGTTTTTGTGGTTATGCATTTTTGTRCTACCAGCAAAACACTTAACATGGACATTTTTGGTACTGTAGCTGTCTGCCTGCAAACACAGGTAGGAAAAATAATCTAGGAGATAAGAAACTTTCCATAGATTTAGGGCTAGAATTAGAATCTGGTTGTGAAATTAACTGGTTGATAATTTCCACAGAGAGTTGCATGCAAACTTATTTTATCTTGGAAGACAGAAAGTAACAGAACAAAATAACTTTTGCTCTTCTGAGACTTAGAGATTATCAGAACTTTTGTTAGACAATGCCATCATATAAAGGTTCCTGAAAAAAGGTGGGCAAAGGGATGGCGGCAAACAGGGCATGAAATGGGATAAAGTAAGATATCTTCAGAGTTTCTAGGATCCAACAGGGCATACAGATYATAATCCAAGTAGTTCCCAAAGGATGTGACAGTTCACAAATGAACCACAAAGTGCCATCATCAGCCTCATTTCACTAAAACCAGTGGCGCAATTGAAAAACTGTATTTTTACCTTTATGTATATCTCTTCTGAGAYATCTCTTCTTCCAAGGATTGAAGCAAAGGGAAACGTTTTACGTTCTTCAAAGCAGCCATTATGTGGTTGTCATGCCTGTCTTGTCAGGAGCCTTTCTAAGCGATAGAAACCAACGACCTACGGAAACCAGAACTGGGTGTGAACGCTTTTGCACCCCCTTAAATAATTTTGCTAATGAATGCAGATGTGATGATCCACTTAATCACATTTTGTCAATCAGGCTTGCTCACTGCTTTTCCTCTTCTCCAAGTCTCATGAGTGATGGTTTTTCTGACTAAATAAATCCATCCTTGTGTTCTCGTACTGTTTATAGCAATTTTCTACTAGCCAAGCCTGGTTCTTATGAGTCAATAATCAGTGACTAGACAGGATGATGAGATTTTAAAAGAAACTGATAGTAGCAAACACATCTCCTTCCTGCCTGGACTGGAGAGGCAGGTCACTCCGATATTCAGGTACTTCTAAAAGACATGGTAAATTTTATGTGCATCACAATGCATCCAGACAGAAGTAYGAGAATGTCCAGGTACTTCTTTGGAAAATATCTGTCCACCTGTTCTTCTTTCCAGAAAAGCAACAAGAATCATAGCAAATTGTGACATAATGAAAAGTGGGGACAGTGAAAAGTCCCAAAGTAGAGTAAATCAGAGTATCAATTGTACTACCTAATCAAGTAATCAGCTTGTCAACCTGACAAAAAATCAAGGGATATATTCCTTCTGGACACAGGCAAAGCATTTGAATGATGTCATGTGGGAAACAATTGGTAGCTGCAAGAACTGTAAGCAAGCATGAAAGTAGCTAAAAGCAGAAAYGACAAACAGGAAGTCATTGGCCTGGATGGATTTTACAGGTGGCATTTCCCAAAAGATGGTCCAAGGACAAATTAACATAATTGTTTGGCACAAAAATCAAAGTACATTAATGAAATTTTCTGATTAAACAACTTGAGAGGTAATTTCAGAGCAAAAGAATAGTTGGAATGGAAGCTATGAGACAAAATATAACTGCTAAGTGCAATGAGGAATAACAACAGTTTCTGCAATGAACCAAAAGCTTGTCAACTGAAAAAAAAAGGAGGAATTCTGAGACATATTGGTAGGATTGCCAGACTTTATGTATGGGAATGTGTCCCTCAGATCCTCATAGCTCCTTACAGGCTCCATCATTTAGTGGTGTTGCTGGCATTGTTGCTTTGATCCAGAAGCAGAGAGAGATAGGTAGGCAGGCAGGCAGGGAGCAGAGGCCATAAAATCACATAACTCATGTCAAAAACATACAGAAAATGCAAGGAGTAGAAAGGTTTTTATGTGGGACATGGGATTCTTTGTTATATGGAAAATCCAGCAAACCCATCTTAGCCACTCACTGGATGACTGTAAGAACCAGTGCAAAACAGAAGCAAACAATGAAGATTGTGTCACTAGGAATACCTCCTTTCCAGGCTTCAGAGGACTCCTGCAGGTGCTGTTGAGCCAGAAATGGCACAAGTCACAGATCTCGTAAGAACCTTCCTCATATCTGTAGATGTGAGGAATTATGGATCTAGAGCTAGCCTGCCACAATCACTGGCACCCAAAAAGTTATTTATAATAGAAAAGGGAACAAATACTTCTGGCTAATATCCATAGTGGTCTCTCTTCATTCAGAGTGGAAGAATACATTCCTAAATTGTGCCTGAACCATCCAGTTGTGGGTTTCTGAGAACTCCTCCTACAGGAATTTCTGAAGCAATGGGAACACCTTCCTCCCCTACCTTGATTTGCATTGCTGATACTCACCTTTCGGAATTATGGGCAGAAGCTGATAGGAGGCACCTTTCCCTGTGTCCTGGGGCCTGGAAGATTCTCTCCAGCATGAGGTGGCTTCCAGCATAATTTATTCTATGATGTTTGGCCTCCTAAGGTAGGCTACAGCAAGGACAGCTATGTCATTCCTCCTTAGACGCTCTCTTCTCATGATAACCTTTGTCTTGCCTTGGAAATTTTCTTTAGAAAGGTTTTACTTCCAATCTGCTGTGGAGGAAAMAGAAAAGAGGTCAAGAGATATCCCAATTTGCTCTGCAAACAGCAGAGTCTATAAAGGCTGTGTTCCAATGGATTTWCATCCTGTGTCCCTCATGCTCCCATTCAAGTGACCAGTGTGCTGTCTCTTCTTCATATCCACCACTCTACTTCCAAGTGTTCCTCCAGGGCTACAGGAGGAACACTCTTCCCAGCAGGATCTCAAGTTCTTTCTCACCTCCCTTCTCTGAACCCCAGCCTCCCCTGCTCAGTACCTGTAGCTCTGTTAGAAGGCTTCCAGTTACTTTTTTGGCATGCCAAGGTCAGAAGAACTCACTGTTACAGAGAATAAGGGAAATARCAACTCAAAATATTGAAAATTGCTGACTCTCACAAAATTGCTGAGGTACTTGGACTGGCAACAAAAGCTGACTAACCTTCTGCTCGTTTGTACAACAGTACAAAACATTCATGTTGGGTTGAATTTCAACTTACTCAAATTTGCAGATTTTAGAAATATTAGTATTGTGGAAAATAGATGAGTTTTCTGTTTGACCCCCCCCCAAAATATGAAATTTCCATTTTCAGAGCATAGTATTTCAGCAGTGTAAAGTTTTGGGAAATCTCRTAATTATTTTCTTTTGAAAAAGATTCTTCAAAACACTTTAAGTTCTTGGAATCGAACTGTCTGATTCTCACACAAATTCAGACCAATTTTTCCTAACCATGAAGAAAACCTCTCAGACAAGAACAAAAAATGTCTTCTAGAGCATCAAAATCCCCACACTCCTGTATTTACTTTCAATTGCAAAGAAGGGGAGCACTACTCATGGCTATTTTACAGATGGAACTGAAGCTCAAAGGCTAAACTTACCTGCTGCCAGACAAAAGCGAAGTGGAATATGGAAATGACTACAACAGTCCTAATTTCCAAGAGTGTCTTAAACAGTGCACCATTTTTCTTGCAAGGCCCACAGAGTCTGCACTATGCACAGAGMCCCCAAATCAGAGGGTGCTATGCTTTGACCTGAACTTTGTTTTTTGCTCTCTCCTGTTGTTCATAGTCCACACAGAAACAGTGTATATTCCACAGTACTTTCTCAGAAGCTGGAAAATAATTTCCTTTCACTAGCAAACATACTTTTTGGGTTGTGTGGCACAACAGAAAAAGCCAATACAGCTTTTCGTTTACTGCTGCGTCTGCATGTTAGCATGAAGGTCAGTAGGAGTGTACACAGTACAGACAAAATGAATAGTTAATTATTGTTAGACTGCAAGAAGGGAAAACACTTTAATTTGGTTTAGAAAAGAGATGATCATAAGAACTGCTTCTTTTCCTGGACTATTTTTTGTAGGAGAGCCTACATACAATAGAATTCATGATGATAACTGGAGGCTATTTGATGTGCTTGAGTACCAGAGAGAAAGAAATCCTGTCATCATTTGGAATAATCCAGTAAATAAGTACAGTATTCAGCAAGAAAAATCACACTTGTTTTTTCAAAATTCCACGGGATTTTTCTCGCTGAATATTATACTTATTCATTGAGATGATTCCTTCTTGTGCATGTGTATTATCTGGCAATTTGCCAATATGTTTTGCCATATTTACTCTTTCTCAAGTGTTTGTACTTGAGAGTTTCATTGCATCATCAACAATCTGTAATTCTTTAAAACTAAGCTGTGTTTAGACCAGAATGCCAGATYGGCTCTTTATGGAACAAGTTTTTATAATTTCAAAACATCAGCATACAACAGCAGGCCTAAACTTGGTACAACCCAGTTTCTGTTGGGATGTGAAACTACTGTTCAAAACTTTTCTTCTCCAAAGGCTGAAAGTATCTTTGCTGTAAATAAGCAAAATGCATTCATATAAGAGAACAGATATTACTGCTTTAAAAATATTCTAAAAAGGCATTTTAATCAAAACAATCAGAACAACTTGACCACAACTAGCAAATCTAATTCCTCCTCAAATGCAGGCCTAGGCCCTCTCAATTACCAGTAATTACATATAATTGTGCATAACTATAAATACATGTAATGACTTTGTGTGGTTGCGTTGAAAAATAATAGTAGTTGGAGGTTCTGAAAGGAACAAAGAAYTCTTACTTCCAGAGCAAGATAAGATCCTGGAGAGCACAATTCACCACACTGAACTCCACCTGTCACTGGGTAGCTGGAAGCAGAGGCTTATGTCAAGCATCCATGACCAGAACAAAGCATCGTCCCAAAGCCAGCTGCAGGATTGGGACAGCACAAGAGAATCAGGCAAGTCTCCAGGCAACTGGCACATGCCAGAGCAATCAGAAAATTTCAGTGGAAATTCTGGATAATTATTGCAGTACGTTCCTTCTGGACTTGTGGACTTTAGCTTCATCCAGACAGAATACCAGAAATTAGAAAAAGACATTCACTCTCCTAATGCTTTAAAGCCATGATCCATCAGCCCACTTTATTAGGTGGAACATGAGTGGGAAGTGATGCTCATTAAAACAAAKGTGCACTGCTTTTAAATTTACTTCAGTAGTACTGAACTGATATGAACTACTGTAAATTCTGTACAAATTAGCTGTTACAAAATTTACCAAGCTTTTCTGCACCAGAATGAATTAGAGATCATGACCAAYAGACATGTACAGTCCTGTAAATGCTAAATAACTGAGTTCAGGTACTCAAATCTTTTACAGCATTTAAATAATATGAAGGCAAATGGCTCAGCACCTGCCACCAGCAGCCACTGTTCAGAAACCATCTAACATTTTTCTAGGCAAGATCCAGACTCAGCAAATTGCTCAACTTCACAAAGTAAACATATAGCAGAGATATATGCTAACTAACTCCAAACGAAGTAATTTCACATTCTCTGCCATTCACATCATTTATCTTAATGGCTCCACACTACCATGATGTATGGTTTTTAAGCATTTGTGTCACTAAGTAACRGAAGCTAATTATTGAACAATTCCACGTTCTCCTAAAAATCTTTGTTTTTCAGCTTGTCAGTTATAAATGGAGTATCTGCATTTCATCAAYGCTTTATTTTCACTGAGGAGGTATTTTAGATGAAAAAACTGCTGAAATGGTCTGATGCATGAGTATGTTTTGTTCAAGCAAAAAACCAAGGATCCCTCATTTCTGCAGCCTCACTGCAGAAAGGTATAAATGATAAAAACCTCTGGTTTTCAGCTCTATTCTTCATTTCCCAGCAAACACTGAATTAGCTTTATGACAATGTTGCTCTGTTCTGTGTAGTGAAACTTCACACTAAAAGAGTGAAGATGAGTGAAGGTTTAAAAGAGGTATGACCAAGAAATTCTTCACTGYGAGGATGATAAGCCCCTGGAATGTGTAGCCCCAAGAAGCTATGGATGCCCCATCCCTGGAAGTGTTCTAGGCCAAGCTGGATGGGACTCTGAGCAGTCTGGCCTAGTGGAAGGTGTCCAGCAAAGAAGGTGCCGGAAGCTCAYAGCAGCATGATTGGAACTAGATGATCTTCAAGGTGCCTTCCAACCCAAACCAATCTATGATCCCTACTCACTMGAGCTCCAACCATCAAGCAAAATGACCTGAGAACTCAAAGGAATTAAACATGGCCACATTTTCTTTGCTTGCTAAGAAATGCTTAGAGTCACAGTAGAAGACTAAATAAAAACAAATTCAGAGGAGGAAAGGGTGTCTGAATGGGAGAGTACTGACAATGACAATTAGAAATGGAATAGCAAGTAGCAGAACGGCAGTTTGCAAAAGAACACTATAAACATGGAATCTTTCACCTGATGTCCCAATAAAATTGTGTGATGTCCAAAAAAAAAAAATGACAAACATCTGCTAACATTAGGAACAATGCTCTGGGACCATACATTCTTCAACACATACCGGATGCTGCAGTGGTCTTTAAAATGCTGTGTGTCACAATGCTACCTACTTAGCAACAATAATTTTCACCAAGTTGAGTCTGTTTTGCCTGCAAAAGTAATCAGTAAGCAATCTCCCTGTGTTTATCCAGACCCAGAAACTTTGTCGTTCTACTAACTCTCCCAGTCCTGTGGAGGAGCAAGAGTAAGAATGGCCAGGGGGACACCTGGCGGGTGGCCAAGGTACCTTCCACACACACTTGCAAAACAATGAACAAAAGTACACACCGGTTTAAAAATTTTAATGTACAAATTTACACTCACCATGTTGCAACTTTCAAACTAGGGAGGAAAGTGCAGCAGCCTGCATGATCTATTCTRTTCATAATTTATTCTGCAAGTGTCTACAGATTAGAAGAAAATATTTTTTCTTTCTCAAGGAAATAAATATTTCATTTCTATCCTCAAGAATCATTCAGCTCTTTAACAGTCTGTGAGCTATGTACCAGCATTCTGTCTCAAGACCAGCATGTTTTTCGCTCTTGGGCAGCCTGTGTTGCTTCTCCTGTGCCCACGCAGCATATTCAGAATTCTTCTCTAGAGACATCCAAAAACACTTCAGTGCAAGAAGGAACAGCCGAAGATGTCCATCTTCAGCTTTGCAATACATCCAGATGCCAACATTACTTTCTTCCAAATGGATCCGACCACACTTTTAACCCTACAAATCAAATATAAAAATAYCAGCAGTTGATAATTAGAGTATTGGAGAAAAAATTAAAACAGATCTGCTACTCCAGACTTTTGTACTAAACAATGAAAGAAGYCAATGMTTTCTGCATTGAACTCACAACTCTRCTTAAACTTGCAAAATATAKAGAAAGACAATCTCATCTTGATCTTAAGCCTCAGATAATGGAAAAATCTATCATAGTTATAGGTAAGGTGTTCTAATATTGTTGGATCAATCATTTAGCATTGCACCCTGCACTTAAATTGGTCTAGATTTCATTTTCAACTACTGGATCTCAAAACATATCATCAGCTAAATTCAAATGAAAAAGTTATACTGAAAACTGGTCATCAAGTACCTGCATTTTGAATAAATGAGCCAGTCCAGACCTCTTGAACGTTTAGCAAAAAGACAGRTTTACCAGACTTCTATTCCACAATACCCTTTCTACTCCTCTTCATCATTTCATCACTTCCCTGAAAAGCAAGTCCTTCACTAATCATTTAACTGATACATGTAATAAGGATGGCTTTAATCCTATTTGATTTTCCCCTGCTACCAAAATTAGGCTTTTTCAGGAACAGAAATACATTCAGATATTAGCTGTTTCATCAAGACAAGCACTCTTACATCTTTAATTGAGAAGTGCCAACCTTGCATAATCAATAGCCATTCCATTTACTATTATGAAGCAATGAACTATCAAGGATAGTTTGCCATACTTGAGTTTTATTTCCCTCATATGCTTTTCTAAGCCTTCCACTGGCAACASCAAGGATCAAAAAACTATTATGACTGCATTCCAAATTTTCCTTTCTGTGTAGTGGATTTCTGCATGGCACATCCACCATGAGGCCAGAAGGCACTGCTGGAGTGCTGATGAACTGTTTCAGCAGAGTTTTGTATTCCACAAAACTAGGGTGCAATATTGTTCTTTACAGCCTACCCATGGTTCTTGTTTGTTCTGAGCTGGTTCAGAAGTGGAAACTAGCATCTATTTAAGAAAGTGTGAAATCAACAGAAGCTCTGCAACTTACTTGGCCAGTTAAGTCAATTTAAGATGAGTTTCATTAAAACCATAAATTTTCAGTGAAGAATTAGCCTGAAAAAATAATTTCATGGCAAGTTTGTTAAATATGTTTTCTCTGAATGTATTCTTCATTACATTATTTAAATCCATATAAATATTTAGGCATTACTTCAAGAGGGTCTTTAAACCATCAACACAAACACATGAATCAAGTGTACCTGCAGGCTGAATATTCTCTTGAACAACACCAGCTCGGTTTATTGACTGTTCTTTCCCTGGAAAACAGAACAGAAATGACATTATTAAAATCAGAAAATACCATATATCTTGATTGCATCCAATAAAATAATCTTGAAAATTTTATTAATTATAGATACTACACAGTAAAATTCTGTTGAGTATCCCCCTACAAAATGCAAAGTAGTATTTCTACCTCACTGAGAAACTAACAGCTAGTCTATGTTGAGGGGCTACAAAAAATAAGATAATCATTTTAAAACAATGCCTACTGTTTAACAATAGATGCKAAAACACTTGCCATGATCCCAACACTTAAGGAATGACTAGTACTTGTACAAGCTATTATTCATATGACCAACATAAAACCAGTCAAAAGACTTTTTTGGGGCAATTCCCATTTTCAGGCCCTGAAAGATACTGCAAATAGATTTCATGACAGCACCTACAAAATTACCGCTTGTAAACTTTGTCAAATTCAATATCTGAGAGATATTTTTTTCATGCATTGGGCCGTTCTCAGGCTTTTCTTTTTTATTTGAAAGACTCAACCATTTCCAAGAAGAGAARTGGAGAAAACTATACTATTTGCCCTTACTAAATGCCCCTCCTTTTTTTTTGCTTCCAGTTAAGCACCTCACCACCACAGTGGTACTTTGAAGCAGGAAGTCAAAGCTCAGRTGGATTAACCTTTTGCTCACACCACTGAACTTCTGAAGGCTTCAGAAAATTGCATGGTGCACATGCTCAGGGGAAGCTCAGAACTAAGCTCACCTTAAAACTGAAATTCTGCAGGATCCTATCCCACTGAGAATGCACTGGCACTACATGTTATCAGACTGTCTAGGTACAAGCCCAATGCTACTGGAGACTAGCAGGACTATCACAGTAATTGACTGTCCTTGCAAGGGGGCAGGTACTAGAGGCAGATCCAGCTTCTCCAGTTGTGTTCACTGAGCATGGTACTTCCATTTCATCCTTTTCAGCACACAAAATCTCAGGGAACTGTCTAATTTCTTCCTAGAAATCTTCAGCTGTCTTGGCAGATTAACCACATMTATCTTGCTATATCAGCTTGCTAAGTTTCATAAAAATTAAAGTAAGGGGGCAAGGCTAGCTGCACCAGAACTTTTCCCTTGTTTCCTTTGTCAGTATTTCACAGAAGTGGAGAAGCAGTGGATGCTCTGGATGCTCCCCCTACGGAGTGCCCACATGGAGCTGCTGAGGCTTTGCACCTGGAGCTACAGGTGCCTTCAAAGGTTCCCTGGACAACCAGCCGGGGGCTTTTGCAGGTTTTCCTGGCAAGTGTTTTTAGCAGAAATGTGGGGTTTTTCTCAGGAGTCAGTTTCAGAGACTCTTCAGACTGAGACCAGCTCTAGCAAATCATCATATCTGGTAAAAAAAACTATTACCAAGTTTTAAGTGAGATTCTCAACTGCAGCTGGAAAATAAAACTCAAACAGCTCATAAAATCATTGGATAACCTGGGTTGGAAGGAACMTTTAAAAATCATCTAGTCCACCTCTCCTGCACTGAGCATCTTGACCTAGATCAGGTTGCTCAGAGACCAGTCCAACCTGACCTTTAATGTTTCCAGAGATGGGACACCCSCCACCCCTCTGGGCAACCTGTTTTAGTGGCTCAGCACCATCATAATAGAAAAGATATTCCTTCTATCGACTCTGAATTCACCCTGTTTTAGTTTAAAACCACTGCCCCTAGTCCTATATTGTCCTAGAAGGGCAACAGGCCCTTCTAAGGTCTGTCCCAGCTTTCTTACAAGCTCTTTCCTACAAGAGTTTCTCGAAGCCTTCTTTTCTCCAAGCTGAAGGACCCCAACTCTCTCAGACCTTATTTACAGGAAAGATGTTCCATCTCTCTCATCTCAATTTCTTCAACTGCATCTCAATCCTCTAGAGAACAGGTGAAGCAAGYTCTTAATCACGTGCTGGCCAATAACTTGGGTACCGCGACTTGTGTTATTTCGGTTTTTAGGTATCTCCTAGGCGAGCAGAAAGCCCCTCGGGGGTTATTCACTGAGCGGCAGCCCCAGCATTTCCCCACGCCCGAGCACAGACGGCGCCACAGACAGCCGGGCCCAGCCATGTCCCCCCGGCAGGAACTCACTGTACTCCTCCGGCAGCAGCAGCGGCCGGAAGTAAATGGGRTAAAATGCGGCTCCCACCACGGCCACGAAGGCACCGAAGATGCCGAGGGTGCGGGACAGTCCCGCCATGGCCCCGGCGGATGTGCGGGAGAGGAGAGGCCCGGCAGGAGCGGCCCGGCCCGGCCCGGCAGGAGCGGCGCCCCCGCGCGGCCGGCGGGCGCAGTGCGGGCACGGGGCCGGTGCCGCCGCGCTGTCAGCCCGGCACGCAGCCCGAGGTGATGCGCCCCAGTGCCGCCGCCCCGCCCTAAAGCACCTCGCCCGACAGCGGGAGTGGCAGCTGTCCCGGGCCGGGACTGCGCTGGCAGCACAGCGCCGAGACGGGAGGCGCCTCGGAGCCGCCAGGAGAGCGGGCGGGCGCGGCCCTGCGCAGGGGTCCCTCCCGGGAGCGCTACTCCCGCGACGCCGCCCGCGCCTGCAGTACGGAGCTGCGACAAGGCTCCAAGGAGCCGCGCAGCACGGCCGGAGCTCCGAGGCTCCTGGCCCAGCCCGTCCGCACCTGCGGCGGCGGAGCGGGGCCCTGCCCGACCCTGCCCTGCCCTGCCCTGCCCTGCCCGGGCGGTGGCCCCTCCTCCAGGAAGCCGGATCTGCCGCATCCTTGTCGCCGGGCCGGTCGCGGAGTCCCGGCCGCGCTGGGCACCGACGCGGCAGCAACATGCGGCTGCCGGCCGAGCTCCACCGGCCCCCTCCGCTGCTCCTCGTCCTCCTCACGGTGAGTGCCACCGGCCCCGGCCCAGCCCCGGCCCAGCCCCGGCCGTCCCGGCCGGGCCCGTTCGGTGCGGCGCCGCGGGCTGTGCGGGCAGGGCGGAGGGAGCCGGAGCCGGTGTCCAGCGGTGTCCGGCGGTGCCCGGGTGCTCGGGGCCGGGGCCGCCTCTCGGAGCCAGCCCCCGGCTGTCCGGCCTGGCCCCGCGTCACCTCCCAGCYCCCAGGGTCACGCTGCCTCATGGAGCTGAGGGGCGGCGACTCGTCACATCCAAATGTTAAGCTTTCTGCCCTGGGTTACGATAAATTTCTGGGGTGGAAGAAAGGGGAGGCCTTTGACATCTGCTTACAGATGCACGACTGAGCATAGTGTTGCACTGGCTTACGGAAACAACTGCGTTTTAGGGGTGTTTGTTAAACTACTTTTTCATCTTTTATGCTGCTAAACATGAGCACTGTTTAAAGCCTTTGTATGCCTATACCATGTTGGTGCTGATGGAGAGCAGCAGATCAACACCCCTTTTTTCATGTCTTCTTTTCTCACATCGTAAATTTTGCATGACGTGTTGGGCATTCACAGATGAAGGACTGCGGTTTCTTCAGGTTTTGTGCAAACAGGTGCAGGTTTCATAGGGTTGTGTGGAATTTCTGCAGGGCTGAACTCGTGCAGGGTCCTGTTGAGATCCTGAGCAAGTGAAGACRTACTTTCTCAGTCATTTCTGTATTATTACACTACTGAAAATGTTACGTTTTCTAACACTTGCTGTGTTTGCCTCCCACACTGGTTTTTATCCCAAGATCTGATGGGATGACTTGGGCTAATTAATTCAGATTCAAGAGGGTTTAAGAAAAGAAAARAAGTTTTACAGCTTTAGTGGCTAAGTTGTCCTTCACAACAAAGCCTCTGCTGTGCTGGGAAACTTATATTTAAGTCTCATAATGTGTAACCAATGTGTAATTCTTTCATCCTTGCTCTGTGTCAGAGGTGATGCACATTTAACTCTGCCTTGTCTGATAAAACAGGAAGGGAAGTCCTCACCAAATAGGAACATGTAGGTGATACATTCTCTATGCACCAAGAGAGGCAGCCAAGTGGTAACAGACTCAACCATGATCTGGAAATTTATGGTCTGCAGTCTCTGCCAGGCCACCATCGCTGTGGGGTTGCTCAGGGTTCTTTGCTCCATGCAGTTTACTGGATGAGTCTCCTGAAGGGTTTGTTAGGTGGACTGTAACAGCAGACTCAAATATACTTAATGCATTTTGGCAGCACACGCCTCAAGTAACTCGCAGGGACCAAAGTAAAATCTCCTGAGTACCACTGTGGGAGCCATTTAGCAGATCAGGCACTATGGAATGGCACTAGATCAGCAGAGCTGAAGCTCAACTTTTGCATCAGCAGTTGTGGTGCATTGTGCTTAAGTGCTCTAGGAACATCATGTAAATTGTTCTACAAAGAATTGGTTTTGGGTTTCAGAGCTTACTGCTTTGGGATCCCCACCACAAAATTTCTGCTATTCACTGGAAATCAGATGAACGTATTCATGCACTGCTGCATCTTCCTTAATGAACTGTGTGAGACCCAAGCTGTCTTTGCTGGAGGCTAGTTCCCATCTCTCCATGTTGGATAACCACTGAGAAAATTGAGAGCTGGCTGTGTGTGTTTTGACAGTAAGTGCGTGCATGTGGTAAGCAGTGGTAACACAATGCTTCGTAGTATCCACATGGTAGACTTCTACATTTTGTGATAACCACATGGCATTGTGTTCATAGTATATTACTGTCTTCCTCATGACACAGCCCCCATGTCACACAGATTATGCTGCTTACAAGTACTCTTTATTGTAAGATCAAGAAACAGGAATGATAACTAACCAACAAGAGGCTTAGGATAATTTGTTGCTGCTGCTATGGGCTTTTAATGCTTTTGGAAGTATTTAAACTGAGAAGAATTACGTTGAAAATGTAAAAGAAAGTCAAGCTCTAAAAGATGCTCAAATTAGTATTAAAATTAAGGTTTCTCTCATTGACTTTTATCTCAGTATTTGTGTATGTGTGTTACCCCATCACATGGTAGACACCATACCATGTATTCCAGTGGGCACCAGCCTCCTAAAGTTATTCTGTTTTTAGCCCCTTCGGTTTGCATAGTTTGTAAAATATCCCAAAATCACAGAATATTCTGAGTTGGAAGGTACCCACAATGATCATTGAGTCCAACGCTTAAGTGAACGGTCCATAACAGCATCAAATCCACAACCTTGGCATTATTAGCACCATGCTCTAACCAATRCCCATTTTGTAGACTGGGAAGGAAATAAGGCAGAGAGGAAKGCTTTCACCCTGATGAGGTTGCCTGTTCTAGACAGCCTCAATACTGAGTTCCATAGTGTTTTGTGGGTTGCATTTTGATAGCATTTCATTTGTCCAGTGTATATCAGTGCTTACATGTGTTTATCAGTGTTCAGTATCACTGCACATCTCRCTTGCAGTGTCTTGTTGGATTCAAGAAGATAAAGAGCATTTGGTTGCACTTAAGGAAAGTGGTTTAAGTGACCAGTTCAGAAAGACCTAGGAGCACTAAATAAATCTAGTGATCTAGAGYTTCCCATCTGCTAGCAATGATATCTAGCTTTCTCAGCCAAAAGTTCCCTCATTCAGTCTTCCAGTGTCTGCTCTAAATCAGTTAAGGTCTTGAGGTACATAGACCTCTCTATACATAGGTGTGTTCCATTAACAACTCTTGAGCTCTTTTGTACCTCTAAGGAGGGAGGGAACTGGGGGAAGAACAGTTAAATCCAAAAAAAACAGTTAAATCCAAAACAGTTAAATCACACAGTTAAATCCAAAATCCYCATCTGTAGGAACAAAGAAGTACAGGACTTATTTCTGACTTTTCTTAATATTTGCACCTTCACAGGTCTTGCAGCCTTGATGTTTTTTCAGTGTAGCTCTCAAGGAATGTCAGCATATTCTTAAGAAATAAAAAGCAAAATAGTTTATCATTAGGGAYACTTACTGATCTTCCTATTGGATTGTGGGCAAGGTCTAGTCCTCCAGCTGCACAACACATAATTTCTATGATTAGGAATGTACTAATAACTAGGCCAAACTATTTAAATTTTTTGAAAATCACAGTGAAAAAGTCATCAATCCCAGATAGGTATCCAAGATCAATTTTATTTTCATTTGTTTAAGCTTAGCAAAATTAAAAGTTACCCAACACAGATCTCATTTTGAGCAATCTTAATGACCATCTTCCCTGGTAATTCTAAATTGTAGATATTTTAGACAGACCAGGGGATCTGGCAGAACTGCTGTGCTGGTGGCTGGCTCTCAGAGCTGAGTAATCTCCACTATCCTTGGCAGTGCATCAAGCTGGATGTTGACTGCAGGGCAGAAAGAAAAGAAGCTGTTTGAAGCCTTAGAGACAAGAACTTCAGCATAGAGGATAATCCTGTTGGATATCCAGGCACTCACTATCAAAGTTTATATAGCATACATAGCTGTGGAGACCAAGAACTGAGTAAATGCAGCCTGCTGGTCTTGCTGCTCAGTTTCCCAAGCCCATCTTCAGGACAGGAACATGTCAAAAGTGAAACACTTCATGAATATTAATTCATTCTCACGAAACCTTTGTTGTTATTGCGTCCTTCAAGTACCTGCATGACAGGTAACAAAATTATCTAACTTTTTAAGAAGATGCAGAAACATCAGGCTGTGACAATCCTAGCAAACAACAGTATGATGAATATATGCCAGTACATTTTCATGTACACTCTTAGGCCTGGTCCTAGGAGCCTGTGTAAATAGCATGACGTGTAAGTCGCTATCTTAGACCGGATTCCACTTGCGTAAGGGCTGCAGGATACACCCTGTAAATACAATCTGTTTGTAGAAGCATGTGTAACTTTGAGAACTTGATTTAGGGAAGTCGTTGCCATTAAAATCTTGGTGGCGGCTCTCCAGTAATCCATGTCTACTTGTGTAAAAGAAACTTCATATTTTGAAGGCAAATTATGGTATATAAATGTACTTGTGCGGTGTTCTSTTATTACCRTGAGTRTATAAGTAATCACGTAAACTTAGATTCTCCAGTTAACATGTTTGTTAATGTTAACCATGTCTGTTAACCATGTTTTGGTTTTTTTTTCCAGAACTTTGTGCTGTCCTTTGGAAAGGAGACATTACAGACAACGGCAGTTACTCCACAGTTTCAGAAAAATATGGATTATGTGGACTTCATCCATTTAAACATTTTAGAAAAGAAAGTTCTTAACAATTCTGAGGTCTCAGTTCAATATTTATGTTCTAAGCCTTGTATTGTCAATTTGGAAGCAGTAGCTTCCTCCGAGTTTAGGACTGGTGTACCAGTGTATAGAAGGAGATGGAAAGATGAGAAGAACCTTTATGTTAGCAGAACTCGACAAGTACACTTGAAATTTCCAAGCATCATGGTTTACAGAGATGATTATATCATCAGAAACTCAATAATAGTGCACAGTGTGATATTGTACGCATGGATTAGTCACAAATCAGCTAGCAACTATGATGATGAGCAGAGTGAAGACTACCAAGCTGCAGTTGCCAAGAATTACACATTTTTAGAAGCAGTTCCACCTTTTGAACGGCCATATAAGGACCACAAAGTTTGTYTGCAGTGGGGTGCCAACTATTTGTGGATGCTTCAGGCAAATAGGATACCTCAGTGTCCTCATGAAAGTGGTAGGTGCAATGTCACTTTTTTCCCCCTAGAAAACTAATGGGACACAAATAACCTYTTTAGTAAGCTGGTAAAAATGCCGGCTGGTAGTAAATAGTAAATGTTACATTCAGTGGTTTACTTGGAAAACATCGTTGAGCATGTAATCTTCAAAACTGTGAGGTTAGAGTTGCAAGTTGCTGAAGCCATCCTGTTCTTCAGTCTGTTTTCTAAGTGTATTCAAACAAGTTCAGTCAAAACACATAAATGTGAGTGGAAATCATTCCTTTACCTTCAGAGAGAGTTGTTCAGTCCCTTACTGCATYATTTCAGAGTCAGTTCTGTAGTCCATGCACACATAATTCTCAAACAAGTTATCTTCTTCTGCTTAAGATGATGGCCTCACACTCAGAAATTTATTTTAAAGTTTTTGTAGTTAACTAAACTTTATAGCATCTCATTTTTTTTTTCCTAGAACCATTATGAAGAAGCATTTTAGGGAAAAAAACAGTTTTAAATAAAAAATGGTGTCTTGCCAACAGTATAAATTASTGAAACAACTTTGCTTTCTAGATTTTCTGAGTTCTGACTTGTTTCTACCTGTCTCTAGTTTTATACCTGCTTACAATTTCTTTTGCCCTCAATTCATACTCAACATAGAACCTAAAATGAAAAAGCCCATTTGTTTCTAAATGGTTCTCTTCTGGAAAATCCCATAATGGTATTTATGTCATTTATTCTCATTATGTTGGCRTGTAAATGCTCTGAAGAAGAACAAGGAACATCTTGCTTCCTTTAGGGGCTTTCTAAAATACTTGTTGGAGACAGCATGTGATACCTGACAACGCTGTGAAACATCTGTATTATCTATTTCTGTTACACATTAAATCAGTGTAATAGACAGTAGGAGAAAACAGTATTTTATTTAGTTTTGTTTCTTAAAATAAGTTAGTAACAAATTGCWTGGGGTTTGGTTTATTTTGTTTTTTCCTAGGTGTTTTTTTGTTTGGTTTTTGAGCTTCTCTAGGCAAGCTAATGATGTATCATGGCCTTGAAGATTTTTCTCCTGTTTCTTAGGAAGGGCAGCTTTATCAGTGTTATGACAGGATTATCCATATCAGTTAAGAACAGAATTGGTATCTATGCATACATATAATGTAGAGAGGTACAAATGAAGAGCAAATCCAAGAGATGTGGAGTAAGGTCAGTTAGGCATAACCAAAGATAGRATGAGATTTAAGTAAATAACATAAATTAAGACTTCTTTTTTACTAACTGGTTATTTAAGTATCTCAGATTTAAATAAGTTTGTTCTTTCTCTGCTTCTAATTCCATCTGGAAGTGGGCTCAATTTCATTTTTCATGAGTTATTTGATCCAATACCAAATAAGAGCAACTGAACTTGTGTTTAAGAACCTGTTGAGGGTTTGTGTTAATTTTTAATCTGTTGTGTGATCTAAATGTTTGACTGTAGGAGTATGAGCTAATTAATTATTATCAATGCTTTCTGTCTGTCAGATTAAGAAAGATTGTATTTTGCAGATGGTGTCCAGATTCTTGAATTTATATATGCTTCCAGTGGAGAAAAAACAGGAATTGTGAAGAAATTTGAACAATTTGAAAACAGAGAACTTGAGACAGTCAGACAACATCAGATTGACTATCCCATGTAAGTATAGGCAAAAAACTCAACAGGGCTGTACTTGRTTATTGAAGGCTATAGAACATACTTAAACTCCTGGGCGACACCACAAATTAAAGGAATACTGGCTGCTAACTTGMGAAAAGATGCAAAAGGAACCTAGGTAGCACTTTCTTCTGATTTCAGTTTTGGACAGGCTTAAGCTGAATCTCAGATACTTACAGTATGTGTTAGTGCAATGCTGTGTAAGAGATGTCATTAGTAGGTGTAACTGAATGGCTTAGGTACAGTTAGGAGGGGGAGTTAACTGTTACCTGCTGTCATGATCAGTCTGCTGTCTCATGACTAACTAGCCTGGGGTTTTCTGCATTACAAACAGATCTGCATTTATAACATTGCAGACCAAGAGCAGAGTAGGGTTTCTTGCATGGGCGAGCAGCRTGGAGCAGCTTTATCCTTATAATTCACACTGATTTATTTTACAGCTGACATGCCCTTAGTGATAGAATCCTCTGCCTAGATRAGTCTTCCAGCTTGAGCTCACTCAGTTTCTTTCTACCATTGCTGTGTAAACTCTCCTATTTAGAGAGAAGTACAGCTCCTTAGCCCCTGCACACTGTTCAGTTACAAAGGAATCACTCTCCTAAGGTCATCTTGCTCTGCTATTACCCCCTTCTCAAAACTGTCACAACTCTTCAGTCATATTTTGCAACTTTACAGGAAAAGAGATATATAAATATACCTCCCTTCCACCAGATGCTCTTACCCTGGCAACATTATTAGAGAAGTAGGAAATGATTGCAGGAACTGGAACTTGACTGGTGGTTTGCATTTGGCCTGTGGTCGTGAGAGGAGTGCCAAAGAAGACTTTCCAGAGAGCACAGGTTGCATGCAAATTACTAACTCTCTAAACCATAACTGAAGCCATAAGTGCAGAGCAATTTTTAGATCCTGGTCTCTTCAGGGTGGGTGACAGATGCTACCTTTGCTCACCAGCACAGTTGCATTCTGCTTCTGGCACTGAGACACTCCAGCTCTAGTTTAGAGTATGTGGCTTGAATTTATGCAGATTTTTACCTGCTCCACATAGTTCTTGACTTCAGATGATGTCTTCAGGGTGTGTCGTGGTCGTACAACCTGGGGTAGTTCTGTTAGAGAAAGAAAGAGTTTTTCTTCATTTCTGTGTGTATGAGAAGTGGTTCCCCACTGCACAGAAAGTCAACAGAAGCAGATGGATCTAACTGAGGTACTTGTTTAGTTTGAGTCAGGGATCTGTGAAGAAAAAGAGCCAGAGATGCATAACTTGTTTGAGGTGGCTACCAGTAGAGATCCTGCAGCAAGGGCAGGCTGGGACTGTAAGGGACTACTCAGTTTGGCATTTTGCAGGAGAGGGGATATGAGTCAGCATCGTCCCAAATTCTGTCCCAAGAAATGTGTCCAGAACCGATACAGTCTCAGACTGTCAATGAAGAATTAAATGAAGACTGCAGAATTTGGGTGTGCTGTATTGGCAGAGATGAAGGATGAAAAGAGCAATATATAAGCACAAGCACATGAGCAGTGTTTCTGGAAGCACACTGTTTGCCTGTAGGTCCTAACAATTAATATATAAGTGATTGTGATTTGCAAGCCTTTCTGCCTCACCCGTGTACCATCTCTGAAGGAAATGGTGTTATCAGCTGTTTAAGGTGTAGTTTCCATTAGCGAAAACTTAATCATCCTTACATTTTTTTAAAGGGTGTTAGGCTTTCAGACCCACGTTGGTTTAGTTTAGGAAAAGATACAAGGTAGTCATGTTAAGCAAGTTCTTGAGAGAGAAGCTGACCCATTTCTAAAATATTATAAACAAATATAAATATATACATTATATAGAAATATATACAAATATATAAACAAATATATATAAATATTATAATATTAAAATATTATAAACAAATATTGACCATTTTTATTGATAACAGTAATACAAGAACTGAATATCTCATTCTAAAAAGTCACTAAGAAAAGTGAATTATTTCATYGGGTATGATAATAATTATAGTGCTTTGCTGAATTGTACATTAGAGGTACGATTTTCAAAGTTGTTCAGCATTGACCTAACTGCTGTTACAATATTAGAGAAATAAGTGATCAAATTTCTGTTAAGAGCATGGAAGCAGATTTAGTCTGGCACAGAGGAACTCCTTAAAATTAGATATTGTGGTATAAGTTCTGATTTTAGTGCCTCAACCAGCTTTGAACAGAAATTTCTAAGTACACTATGTTGTTGTGTCTTTGGTTTTTTATTTTGCACTGCTCCATAGTTTGCAGAGGCTCCACCTTTATTTATCCTGTGATATCTCTTTCATACCTACCTGTACTGTTCAGGGTTTGGATTCATTTTTAACTGCTTCTCCTCAGCACATTTTTGGAGTTTACTTTTAGTATAGAAGACCCAGCTTATAGTTTTTACTGCCTTCGGCAATCAAGATAACAAGACCATGCATCTGGGGATTTKGTACTGTAGTCTGTATGTGGTGGTTGGCTCCCATTTGTCTTGGTTGTGTTTTCAATTCCTTGGTGATATGGGATCTGGAAGTAGCTCTGACCCAGCATTCTGGAATTGATTCAGATAATGCTTCCTTACTTACTTCTCCTGTTATTAACCCAAAAGTCTGTGGTTAGAGATCAAAGATCCAAGAATCTTAAGTGTGACTGTTCTGAGCATTTTCACTACAGAAGATGTGTTCTGTTCTGAAGATAATGTGTGTAACAGGTTTGCTAAATTAAAGTGGAATACATTCTTTTCAAAATATATAGAGAGATTTCTCATCAGGAGTGGATTTTTTGTTTGTTTTTGCCCATGCAGGTTCACCGTTTCAATCTGGCTATATCTGCTCCATCACTGTGAAARGGATCTGTGTGGTATACTCTATTTTATTGATTCAAAAGAGATGTATGGTACTCCCGCTGTATTTCTAAATGAGGAAGGTAAGGGATGTTATTAATGGCTTTCAGAAGAGGTCTAATACAGTTTTTATAGATCTGTGCCTAGGAATAACATTTATGAAAATACATTTTCAGACCTATTCTGTGCAATTGATCCCTTGCAAAATACTTATTTTTTCCTATAGTGTCTCAGTAGGAAAGGAGCTACTAAATTAACAGGGAAAAACTGAGAAATAGCTGCATAGCATGTAGTCTTGGCCAGCTTCAGGAAATGTCTTCTTTATTAGGATAATAGCCTGAATTCTACAGGCTGGGAACATACACTGGGTTTAAACAGTCTTACCTCGATGAACAAGCTTTGTTATTATTATTGAAGTATTATTTTAAATTTATCGTAATTCCTGTATACATACAACATGAAAATTTTTGATAATTTGAAGTARGCTCAGAGGAAGCCCAAATCATTCAAGGTCTTGCCTACGTTGTAATGTTCAAGAATCAGTCTGTTTCCCTGATCCTGAGGAAAGTTAAGAGGTAGTAAGRTCTTAATCTTCCAAGGTTTGCAGTAGGGGTCTGTTCTCACCTGAAGAYAGCTGGGAGCTGGCTGGCAAACTCACAGAGGAAATAAACATGCAGAGTTTTAAAAGTGCACACCTGGCTTTCTTGTAATACATTTTTTCCTCCTTCTTTGCAAGTTTGACAACTGACATCTTCCTCTCTGTTATTTTTGCAATTTTCATTTTCTCTGCCTGTTAGCCAATTTCAATGATCTATCCATTATAAACTGGATGTTTTTCTTTGAAGAACAAAAAAAAAGGAAGTTATCAGCTTGATATGAGATTTGCTTGGAGAGGCTTTAGGGCCGGTTTTATTTTCAGTGTTAGACTAGATTATCATAACAGCCTGTTCTGGTCTTAAGAGCTCAGACCATGAGTGCAGCTTCTGCAGGTCCAAAAAGTGTAGGGTAGAGTCATCTGGTACTTGATCATTGCTGTCACATGCCACCAGTTGAGTGCCAAGTGGATGCCATTTGTGTACTGTTCCCTTCTGCTGTTTACCAAAAGTCACAACTGCTTTCCGATGTTTGAGGTCAACTGTGGCAGCCTCCCTGTTTGCCTTAAGTTTAGTCTGTTTAACCCTCAGGCAGTGGGTTTTCAGCCTGTGGTTTCATGTGGAAGCCTGAGCATCAGCATCTGAGCTGTGTGACTGATATGTGGAGCACTGTCTCTGGGACTCTGTGAGAGCTGATGTGTGGCTTAGTGAGTGCCCAGATTTCTGTTGGTGATGAAGAGAATGAAGAGGACAGAATCACTGTGAAAATACATTAGTAAACTCATCCTTGCTGTCAGTGTTTCTGTGGTGTTTACTCCCTTTTTCTTCCTTTCTTGCTGTCAGGTTATGTGCATATTCAGATGCATCTCATGAGAGGGGATGACCTTGCAGTGAAAACTAGCTTCAGCCTTCCTCTGAAGCAGTGGTTTCGACTGGATCTGTCCTTTAAGGGTGGACAGGTATGCTGGCTACTGAATTAAAGATCATGGCTGAYATTTGTATAATTTGATTATGCCTCTGACAAGCTCCTTAATAGCTAAGGCTGAGAGAAATACTGTAAATTGCACATGCTAACATAGCAAAAGAATGAAAAATCTAAAAGTAGAAGTTTTGAGGGGATGTTCAGACTGTTTGTATTTGGGAAACCAACTTTGATTGATTGAGTTGGATTGTGTGCACCCTCAGCAAATTTTCTGATGACATCAAACTGTGTGGTGTAGTCAAGATGCTGAAGGGAAGGGATGTCATCCATATGGACTTGGACAAGCTTGAGAGGTGGGCCCGTGTGAACATTGTGATGTTTAACAAGTCCAGGGTCAGGGGAATCCCAAGCACAAATACGGGGCAGAGAGTAGTGAGAACACCCTGGSGTGAAGGACTTCAGGCTGCAGATCAATAAGAATCATTGAATCATTAAAGCTGGAAAAGACCTCAAAGATTATTGAGTCCAACCTTTGACCAAACACCACCATATCAACTAAAACCATAGCACTGAGTGCCACAACCAGCTGTTTCTTGAACACTTCCTGGGATGGTGGCTCCACCCCTTCCATGGGCAGCTTGTTCCAGTGCTTGACAACCCGTTCAGTCATGAAATATTTCCTAACATCCCATATAAACTCCCATGGAGCAACTTGACACTGTAATAATTGTACCCTGTAACATTTACTTTATTATAGTTAATATTTTGTGCTCTTTTAGATAGAAGTAAGCAGTGTTGGGAAGAATTTGAAAAGACACCATCATCAATCTTTTACGTAAGCAGCATTTTCCCCTTTGTATATGTGTGTATGTGTTCAGATACAGAGAATGGGAGAAAGAGAGCACAAGTTTGTAACTGGGATTCTGATTAATTTTCAAAATGTCTATGGTCTTTTTCCACACTAAGTTTTCTAAACCAGTTTGCTTTACTCTGCTTACATTAAGCACAAGCTGAATATTAATGCCATGAGTTAACACGGGGACTGATCTAGTACTAGAGTCTGATAACCCTCACTAAAAACTGATTGGCAGGTCGRTGACATTAGGATCAGTCCTCAAATGAACTTTTGACCTTACTGAAATCTACTTTTACTGTTGCTGTGACAGCTAGTATTTCACCAAGGAAATTACCTGCTTTGCTTAGTTAGAGAGCAAAATTGCTACCAAAGTATTCTTGTTCTGTCCTTTATTCTAAACAACTGAGTAGTTTTTTAAAAATGGATCTTCGGTTGTTCTCTTTCACTGTAATTTAAGATGAACTCTTTCTTGTGCAAATAATTAAAAAATGCCACTGTTAATAAGAGAACTGTGTAACAGTGAACCACATAGCAGACTTCAGGGTTGTTCCTTCTCTGCTATGCTTTAAAAAACAGAAATAGGTAAGTCACAGGTAATAATTCTAGGAGACAGATAACTTATTTTCATATGCTGATTTTAGAAAAGTGAAATGGAAAGGTGGAACTGAAATAGTTGWGGTTGAGTAATGATGCATAAAATGTCAGAATACTTACAGGTCAGAAAAATAAAGCACCCTGCTGGTTTAATGTTTGTAGACAAGGGCTTTGTTAAATTTAGTCCAAAAATTATCACACTAAATTGCAGAATAGATTTTGAGGATAAACAAATGAGTAAAAAAAAATATTCTGGCAACAAGCTTAAGACTATCAGTTGCAGAAATTCTGAGATA